TAGTCTGAACTCACATAATCTCATCTATAGTCTAGCTTCCAAATTCTTGATATACAAGGCAGGATCTGCCATAAAGAGAAGAGAGGTACTGCTCCTTGATCATAGCTTATTTCTATCACTATCTTATATTTTTTTCACAAAAATTATATCCTTAGAATATAATCGGCATGTGATACATCCTTTCTTAAAAAGATATAAATTCCAATTTTAAAAATAATTCAAAATTCAGATCTTTCAGCCAGAAGAAAAAAATATAATATGAATGTGCACTTCTGATAACCAAATAGGCCTAGCTATATTAATATAACTAAGTGTAGCATCTAAGTCTTTTTTCTTCATATATTCAGGATTAGCCAAGATTCAGCCTTCAAAACCTCTTAATCAAAGATTTTAGGATAAAAGAAAAGTGGAATATTTCTCACTCTATTTACCTACCTGCGTCATATCCAATATTTTTTTATACCTATCTAATCACATACTCCCTTAAAAATAAAGCCTACAATGCAATCAAATCCAAAATCAACAATTAATCACCTTATATTAGAAACATTCAATAAGAGAAATAACGCATATTGTAAAGATTGTATAATGTAAACAAGTATCAGAGCTGAACCAAACTCCTAAATAATATATAACTAACTAGCATTCATAATGAGAAATAAAGGCACATAGTATATCAAAAAATGCATATCATAAATAAACCTCAAGTTAAACCAAACCCTCAAATAATAAATAACTAACTAGCGTTTATGAAAAGAAATAAAAGTTAATTAGTATATTAAAAAATTTCATATAGAAATATGGTAAAAAAACAGAAAAAAGAACAAGCAAGCCAATGGCCAAATAAAAAGAAAAAAGAAAAAGAAAGAAAAAGAGAATAATAAAGCAAAAAAGAAATAAGTAGAAAAAATAACAATATTGAAGAGGGGCTCCCAAAAATCACAGAATAATGAAAATAAAGTTAAAGCCATCAAGCTAACAAGTAAGTAATAATATAGTGGTAAGTATGTAATATTATAAACTAAGAAGAATTAAGTAAGTAACACTCTTATAAGAGTATTATCTATTTAATTCTTCTTGACTCAAACAAAAAGCGAAAAGATAAATGGACATCTTGTGTTATAATAGTTAATATTCTTATGCTATACTTCAGACTAATAAATAAATAAAGTAACTAAGAATGTAATGTGAAAAAAAACTTTTAGATTAAATAAATATATTATAAAATATATATATTAGTTAAATAATAGAAAACAAATTATTTGAGAAATAAAAATTAAGAATTATTAACTTTATTAAAATAGTAAAAGCAAAATTTGTTATAAAAACTTAAGTAATTAGTAAATAAAATAAAAGAAAAAAATAAAGAAACTTTTGTTATTTAAAAAATTTAATAATTAGTATAAAACTAAAATATAGAGTTTTGATATTAATGAAATAGGATAAATAAAAATATAATTATTATTTTTAGATTATGATGATCTAATTCTCCTAAATTTTAATATTATTCTTATTACACATCAAATTATAATATTAGAGAAAGATAGTAGTAATACTAATATAATTTTTATTGATGAATATAAAAATAATTATAATAATAATGCTTTTTTTTTATTATAAAAAATATGATAGATTAAAAATAAATAAAAATAGATATTATTATCATTATTTAGTAAAGAATAAATTAACTAAATTACTTGTAGAATAAATATTAATTATCTGATTTTTCAGTTTTACTTCAAAAACAAATTCAGAGAATTAAAAAAAAATTATATACTACTAAAAATAAATTGGTAATAAATGAAAAGATATAATAGATATAATCAAATTTCACAAAAAAATCAAAAGAATGAAATGAAGAGAAATTAAGAATTAGAAGCTGAAGTTTTTTGATTAATATAGAAAAATTAAAAATTAAAAGATTAACAAAGTAATCAATTAATTATTCAAATTAAAATTAGAAAGTTACTTTGATTAAAAATAAGAAAGTAATTAAAAATGTTAAAGAATACCAATATAACAATATTTTAATATTTATCAGATTTTGATAATTTTATTAATAATAATTCAAAATGAAAGGATTTTCTTAAGAAAATTATGTTTTATCTAATTTTGCTTCTAATAGATATATTAAAAATTTATAAAGAAACTAGCATTAGTATTAATATCAGTATTAGCATTAGTAATCTTAAAGATAAAGTTTTGTCAAATTTGTAAAGGAAATATAAAAGTCCAAGAAAACTAATTATATGAAAAGTAATAGAAAAGCAAGAAAATGAAAAGCATTATATCATACTTTAATTTATTATTTCAATATTGAATTTTAAAAAGTTGGCAATAACCATATACATCAAATATATACTTTGTTTGATTTTATTGCAACATGTTCTATATGATCTGAATATTATTTAATTGATATAAAAAGAATTTCTTTATTTGAAAAATAAATAAGAAATAAATACTTTACAATTTAATTATTATTAATATAGATATTGAATATATACATATACTTTTTTTATATTGATATTTTATAATTAAAAATATAAATAAATATTTTATAAAAAATCAAATTTATTTTTGTAATTAATAAAATAATTGATAATAAATACTAGATTTTTTTTTTTTTCCATTTTTATTTACATGTATTGAAAAATTTTTTATAATTATGCATTTTTTTTTTTTTAAAAAAAAGAATTTTTATAATAAATAGTTATAAAGTGTCTTTTAAATAATGAAATGATGATACATGAAAATATCCTTTAAAAATTCAATTCAAAACATCAAAAAATTTTACAACAAAAAAAAAAAAAATAAAATTACAAAAAAAAAAAAAAAAAAAATTAATAATAATTACAGTTCAAGAAAAACCTACTTCAATCATTATCGAAATATTTTTTTTTAAATATATATACATATATATATATATATTTTTTTTTGAATGCCAAAAAAAAATTATTTTAATTTTGAAAAAAGAAAAAAAAAAAAAGAAACCACTCTAACTACTATCGTTTCCAACACATTTTTTAAATCTTGATGTACATTTGATTTTTTACACTATCCTCTCTATCTTCTCTTCCTAAACTTACTTTAATTAATATTGAATGATTCATAAATAATAGCCATGAAATCAATCATTCATTACTATGAGGAATTTTCTTTTTTTATACTAACTAAATAAATTATATAGTGTTTTTTTTTTTTTTTTTTTTTTGTCTCCTGAAGAGAGTTGATGGTATATGTAATGTATATTTTAGTTTGCTTAGGTGTCTCTAGTTCATGTTTTGCATACTCGGCATATTAAACTTGTAACAATGATTTTTGAAAATAGATCTTAAAAAATTCTCGCAAAAGAGGAAGGCCAAGAAGTATCCATGATGAGGTATAGCGGTTTTTTTTTCAGACCTCAATTTTCGTAACCTTACTCCTTGAGTTCACGGAAAGGTTTATATATAATTACTTATATATAATCTTAGATGAAATTGGAAAACTTATGAAATAACCCTTCGCGTTTTTAACTGAAAATTTTTTGTGAAAAGAAACAAATAACGAGCACAAAAAAAGAAAAATGGATAAATAAAAAAAATAAGAATTTAGTTACAATTTCAACTGCAAAATCGTTCTTTTTAAATAAAACTTTTTTTCTTAGTAAAAGGAAGTATATAATCAAGCAGGAAACGGCATATATATGTATATATATATTTTCCCAAATAAAAAGAAGCAAGAAATTAACTGAAAACAAAGGCCGCAGTTGATAAATCCGCAGTGTGACACGAAAGGCGGCCACAATCCACTGCAATACCAATGCTGACACAAAAACAAAATTATTGACTTCACCAGGACGACATTCTTTTTTCACCAAAAGGATTGGAACCACCATCTGAGGATAATTCCTAAGAATTATCCGCAGAGGATAATCCATCATCCTAAAAAAACTCCGGTATCGGAATGTCAGCAAACTTAACCTTACCCTTTCCTTTTTTTCGGGAAATTCTGCTGCTTCACTGCTTGATATATCATATTTATCTCCGCCACAAAAACCTACCACATTCGACCCACTTAAGGGCGCGTATGTATACCGTCCAGAAGCGGCGCTATTGGATGCAGGAGCCGAGGAGGGAGATGCTTGACGATGCGTATTCTCATAATTTGTGAAGTAGCTCCTTGTCTAAAACATAGTTAAATGATTAAAATTTAATAACTCATGTTACGGTCAGACAAAAATTTAAGCTGATAGATATACTTACGCCAAGTTTCACCTCCGTGATCCACTCGTGCATTAAACCTTCATCAGGCTTCATTCGCTTCTCGGGATCCCAGTCTAAACACCGAGCGATAAAATCTAAAAATACTTGGTCTTGGCATTTCAAGACGTTCGCCAATGATTTTGTGCTTGGACGACGACGCTTCCCTTTAGAACTAACAACAGGGCGGGGGTTGCCATTGGAATCTATTATAATAACGATTCAGCTTTTAGAATACGGATCATTTGATTTTCAAATTAAGTAAACTGTAAACAATCGAGTTTTCTTACCGAAAAAGAGTTTTTTGCGAGTACTTTTTTCTATCAAATACTTCTCTGGGACGCCCAAAACTTCCATAATGCATGCCAGTTGCTCTTGCTCATTTTCACCGGGGAACAAAGGATATCCTGTTGTATTAAAAAAAAAAAAAAAAGGATTAGAGATTAAAATTATTTATCAAAATTAAAGTATAGAGTAATTTACTTACCAGTATACAGTTCAGCTAGAATACAACCTAAGCTCCACATATCGATCGCCATATTATATGTCATACCTAATATGACTTCAGGAGATCGGTAAAATCTACTTTGAATGTACGTGTAGACCTTTTCATTCTCGAAACAACTGCTACCAAAATCAATAACTTTAATGCTGCTCTTTGTAGGATGTTTTAGCAGCACATTCTAGACAAATAGAGATAATTTAGCAAAGATCTTGCAATTTAAGAAAATTCAAGGAGATTAAATTCACCTCTGGCTTCAAGTCACAGTGTACGATGTTATGTCTTTGTAATAACGACAAGGAGTTAAGAAGCTGGACGCAAAATCTGTAATTTTATTCATTAAATAGGTAGGTTATCATGACGTTTTTTCTTCTGATCGGTTGAATAATCTCATACCTTTTAATCAAGCCAAGGCTGAATCCTTGGAAGTTACTGCTCTTGATAAATTCATACAAATTAATACTTAAGAGCTCGAATGCGATACATAGATGGTTTCGGAAATAAAAATGATCATTCATATGAATGATATTGTGTGTATCATCGGGATCCTTTTTTTTATTAAAAAAAAAAGGTTAATTCTGAAAAATCCTTTAAAAAAAACCACATAAATCCACGATTTCTTTATTCAATGCTTAACACATACCCATTTGTTCAAGCATTCCAAAATCTTAACTTCCACCAAGGCTTGGCAGTGAAATCGCTTCTTATTTCTGATAATCTTCACAGCTACGTATTCTCCCGTCTTGTGATCCAAACACTTCAGCACCTGGCCGAAGGAACCTTTTCCAAGGGTGTCAACAACTTCATATCGATAACACAAATGGTCTTTGGGAATAATTTTGTAGTCGCCTCTTTCGTCATCAAATCCGTAATTACATCCGGTTAACTCCGGGCTTGCAGGTGCTTTCGCAGCTTCAGGGCCAACAAAATAAACATTCGGATACTCCAAAATTTCTGAACGTTCGTATAAAGACAAGTAAGGTGCATATGATTTCAAAGCGGATTGGGGACTCATAGGAAGGGTTCCCTTCATTTGTGTCTCATGTTCTTTACGTTCCCTCTCATGTTCTTTGCGATCTCTCTCTTTCTTTTCGGTTTCATGTAAGAAACTGGTAGTCTCCTCTTCCCCACTCGTTACAGTGAATTCGTCGTCCTGGCTCGTATGAGCAAAGTTGCTTGGAGTACTGGCAGCAGATGATGAGGAGTCCAAATCCATATGGTAAGAAGAACCGGTTGTGTTCTTCGAAACATAAGCGCTTAAATGGTTCGAAATAACAGGGTGCGCAGGTTGAGAATTCGTTCTGACCTTCAGCTTCTTTGGTTGAAGATTTGAATGAGTTGTCGTTGTACTTGAGGTAGAAGCCGCGCTTGATGTTATCGGAATCGTTTTTGCATGAGATGAAGCGGACGAGTGCGAATTTTTGTTCGAGAAAAGATTTATAAAAGAGTTTGATAGCCTTCTCGGCTTGCTTTTTGATGAAACTTTTTCATTACTAGCATGTGCTATATATTACAAGTATGAGGATGTTAGTTGACAGAATTTGAATACGTTTTAAACAAATGGAGGATAATTTTTTTTTTTATTTATTTATTTAAAAAAACTTTCTTACCTTTGTCAACGGAAGTTGATGTTTTGCAAGGGGTTGTAGCACTTTTCCTACCCGTTATTACCATCGTCGTCGTTGATGAACCATATGTATTCAATGTCGAATTAGAACTTATCGATTTCTGACTAGCATAGCCGTATGATCTATTCGGTGAAACCGGTACAGCTCGAGAATTTACTTTGCTAGGTGACGCTATTCCACTCCCACTCTTTATTATTCTGGATTGTATTCCTGTAGGTGTAGGAAGTTTTGTAAATGTATTTGCGGAAGCTGTTGGAGTAGTCGGTATTCTCAATCCGGATCGGGGGTGCTCAGAAGTCGGGGTTTTTGCCTTAAGGTTCGGATTTACGCTTTTGGGTATTTTCACGGTTGTTAATGGTTGTACATTCATCGGAGGAAGTGTTAGTGCAGCCAATTGTTGAGGTGCCGCAATGTTTGCTGGAAGGGTCTAAACACATTTATTCAGAAATTAAATATGGTAAGTGAACGTGGTAAATGGTAATGTTACTAAAAGCAAATCCAACCTGTCTTCTGATAATCTTATCACTTTGCTGTTGACCGCTCATCTAACGTAATTTAAAACCAAACCATGATATATAGCTTAAGTATTAAATTAACTATACTAAAACTATGCTATTATTATTAAACGAAAAATGAATTTTCACATACCGTCCCTCTGGGTCGATTTTGACTCTTTTTCTTTGTTGAAGACGACGGTGGACGATGCCCATCCGTACTCCTATTATCCTTCCTTCCGCGTGGTAAAACTTCATCATAACCTTTACTTGACGCAGAAATCGAAACTTTCTTTTCGCTATTCATTGAATGAGGTATCGCGGGCACCGGGGGAATTTCTTCGTTAACTCTAGTTAATTTGGGCTGCGGTAACATGCTTGGCATATTAGGAACAGGAGGCGGAGGCTGTGCATCTTTGGTAGGTGGAGGATGAGACAATCGATGTGATGCGATCGTCGTCGGTGTCGTCGTTCGACTTGAAGTTGTTTTTGGAGAATTCGGCGATCCGGATTTAGCATGATCTATTTTAGATTTTCTTCGTTTCATAGTTGCGGATGATGACGACGATGTAGTAGAAGTATTCTCTATTGAACTAGTAAGAGTATTATCCGTGCCTTGATTGTTTTTTGATGAAGGTGAAAATTGTTCTGAACTATTATAACTTGAACTACGAACTGGCATAGGGGGTGGCAATTTTGAAGTAAGTGTTGACGGCGGTGGTGTTATTGGCATTGTCTTTGATTTGCTCACACTCGGCCATAAAGGTGATGGCGATAGGTCATATTGATGAGAATCGCCGTTATCAAAGTCCAAAGGTGATGATGTGGAATCAAATGTACTTCTTCGTTTTGAGTTAAAATCTTGAAAAGATGTAAATCTATCCAATTGTTCGAGTGCAGTTGACTTTATCGATGAATCGATCGTCTTTCGTTTCTCTATCTTTTTTTGTTTTTCTGCAGCAGATCTTATTCTCTCCTCAGAACGTGCTGTCTTCAATGACTTTCTTTCAGTTGACGTTGTAATTGAATTTTCACTAGCATACCGATTATGACTTGATCTGAGACTGCTGAGCATTGATGAATCTATAGTTCTTGTCCTTTGACGATCAATACCAGAAGCAGATGTACTGGACTTCGTTGGCCTTTCTGAATCTTGACTTGTACGCCTTGTCACTGATGGCTTGACCGGCGTGACCGATGTTGTTGGTGTGCGTTTTGAAGCAGAAGGTGCGCGACGTGATTTATCATTTCTTTGAAGTAAAGAATACTTTATTAATATCGAAAAGATCCTTAACAGAATGATGAGTTTTTTTTTTCCTTAATTTGGCAAAAGGAAGAATAAAAGAATAATATATATATATGTGATATATTTTATTCTTCTAACCTTTTAAACGTTCTTTTAATGATATTAAGAAAAACACCTACCCTACAAATCCATGTTTTCCTGATAAATCCTCGCCTGCCATTGAACTGAAAGATTCTTCGTCACTAGCATCATCTCTCTTTGGTTGAAAGAGATTTTTCATCCTCTCCATAACCTCATTTGTTTGACTAGCAATTTTATGCTCCACCATTTGCAAATCATTAAATCGTTTCAAAGCTTCCTCGGTAGCAGCTTTATATTTAGCTTTTTTAATTTGTTTTGACTCATTGCCAGTAGTTGGCTCATGTTTTGATTCTTCTTTAGGCTGTTTATGACGTGATTTACTTCGAACGGGCTGACCTGAAGAAACCGATGTCATGGAATTTTCGTCTTTAGAAGCTCTCGTAACACCGAGAGATTTCTTATGCGGTGAAGAACTTATCCTTGAAGTGGTTTGTTGTGGCTGTTGTGATGTACTATTTCTTACAGGTGGTTGTGACAACCAATTGGGGAAATCAGGAACGCTTGGAACATTATTTATAGCAGGATTGCCAGTATTACCATGCTGAGAACGATGCCGAGATATTTGACCTGACAGAGTGCTAGAAGTAGAAGAGGATGTCGAAACAACGGACAATCGTCTTGACGACGAAGATTTTTGGGACGAATCTGTCATCATCGAAAATTATTATTATTATTTTGATAAAAGAAAAAAGGAAAAAAAAAATTTTTTTTTTTTAAAAAATAATTTAGTATGGACTAATAATGATGATGATGATTGACTAATAATTTGATGAAGTGATGATGTGAGATATAGGAAATAGATTCGATCTTTCTAAATGAAAGATTTAAAATAAAAATTTAGCTTTTTTAATGATTCCGTTTGTGATGTGAAGATCACCACTTAACTAAAATAAGAATATGAAAAATGAACAAAGCGGAAAATCCAATTTGAAATTCTCGCCCGCAGTAAAATATCGAGGAAAATGAGGAAGAAAAAAAATAAAAAAGAAAAAATGCATTTTCCAATAAGATGCGAAAAGAACATTTTGTTTTTTTCCTTTATTTAACATTTTAATCAATTCAAACCAAAGCTAATCAAATCTTTTCACCCAAATCAAAAAGATTCACCACCAAATATTTAAAAGTCAAAAAAGAGAAAAAAATTGCATTGGTAAGTCGATAAACTTACCCAAAAGGTTCACTGAAACTTCACTTGGAGACATACAATTCAAATTAGATAAGTGACTAGAGCCGACCGAAGACGTGGAAGGTTTTCGTGGAGAGACCTCTTTATTGACAACCTTTGTGGGGATTTTTTTGATTTTTTGGGGTTGTTGCAATTGAGTTTTTTGCTGTTGAGCTTGCAGAGGAGTGAGGGATGACGTTCGAGTACGAGGACGTTTTGGTGGAAGGTTGGACTGTTTCGTAACTTTTGTTGTTGACTTGAGTTTCGGATTGACAATAGGTGAAGGTGCTAAGGATGTATGTATTTGTACTGGAGAAGGAGCTAATTGCATGGGGTCATTCTAAGCTTGGGAAAGGTTTTAAGTGATATTTACGAAAGGTAAAGTAGTAATAAGAAAATATATATATTTACAAAAAAGAAAAAAAAAAAAAAAAATACGACGAAACTAATTTTTTAATTTTTAATTTTTTTTTTTTTTTTCAGTTTCGGAATCTAAATAACTTAGTAATAGTTCGTTCCAAAATATGAAACTATCTGGCTATTTTCCGTAATATAATAAACTTAAAACCAAATAATTTCACAGAAAAAAAAAAACTCTCAAAGTTTCATATATATATATATTATAAATATATATATATATATACTTGTTCTTTATGTCACTAAATTATAAGAAAAAAATTCTTTTACAGAAGGTTGTGTCTTTTGTACAATTGTGCCGTTCGTAGTTTTTTTGACCGACTAATTATAAATATGTCGTTGGAACACCGGGTTTTTCAATCCCTTTTTTTCCAGTAGCAAGTTTCCGAAAGGATTATCGGCTCATCTACCCTTCTAATAATACTATAAAAAAATTTTTTGATGAAATTTCTCGAGTGGATTGTGTGACAATGCATCATTTATTATGGTATAGTCCTTTCCTGTTGTACAAAGGTATTAACGAATAACAAAAATAAAATAGATGTGTTTATTAGATAAAAAAAGAAGTCGAATCAAAAAAAAAAAAAAATTATTATTTTTTATCCTTCCCTTCTTTTTTGATCCTCTTTTGTTGATGAGGGGTTAAGTTGATAATTGAGTCATTGAGATGACAAGTTGTGGGATATAGCGTCACGAGGGGTTGGTGAAGGTCAATTCGACAGGGTCAAATTAATTCTACCCATTCAATAAACGGATTTGCTAATTTTATATCAACGTGATTAACCAAAGATGATGACGTTTTGTATTCCAGAATCGGAATATTAAAAAAGTCTTATCCTTACCTAATTTAGTACCATTTGGACGTTCATGTTAACAATGCCACAACAATGAGCCACACCCATTAATACAATATCGTTAATTGTGGTGGGTAAAAAAAAAACCGTTGATGAAATAATAATCTTCACGCGAACCTTTTGCCTAGTCTTTCTGACCAGATTTGGAACAATGTCAAATGTTTGTTTGATTCTTGTTTAATTTGTTTTATTACACCATTTCATTATGGTTATCATGTATGTTTAAAAAGGTGAAATCCTGGTTTGGAAAAGTTGGGTAATTTTTGTATTTTCTTATTATGAATCTAACGAAAAGGAATTCATTTCCTTTCGAAAAAAAATAATAAAAAGACATCTCCGAGACCATTGTTGATTTCTTTAATAAGACCGCCAGATCTTCGACAGCCATAAATAATTCCACATAGGAAATTTCAAACACATCCCTATTAAGTATTCAACAAAAAAAAAAAAAACCAAGTACTCCACACCAAACAAATAATAAACAAATTTAATTTATTACAACTTGTATTCATTTAACTTTTAACCTAACTTTATTGGAAACATATAGTTATCTCTGATGTTACATGAACAGTTCTTTCAAAGAAAAAACCGAATAATTTTGTAACTAAATTTAAATAAAGTTTTGGACAATAATGAATTTCTTGAAATGTAATTATTGTTGAAAAAGATCTCAAAATCAGCTGAATGAAAAAAAAAAATCTAAAAAAAAAGTTCCCATCAATATCAAAAAAAAATTTCCCGAATATTCAGAACAATCGTTCGAAAAAGAGTCATTGATTATTGTAAACTAAATATCTGTCAAACTCAAAAAAAAAAAAAGTTACGCCCACTTTGAAGATAACTACAAAAAAAATTGACATATGCAAACATGATGCAAAACAAAACTGTCTTGTACTTTATATCGTTATATTAATCAAAAAGTACAATGTAGATTATTTCTAATACTGCCTTCATGGGTTCTTTATGGTTACAATTCTAAGGTATGATGTGGGTAACCCAAGTTATTGGGCGACAGATGACGTTCTATTTATGTGTATATATTTCGCTTTTTCTTCAAGGCGGAAGAAAATATTTGAGCTTGTGATGATTTGATTTGCATAAGTCATATGGCGAATGCTTGATACTAGGTTCGTTTTTGGAATAGAAAAAAGAATTTTCGGTTTTTATCTAATTTCCCGATGTTTTTTGACAATCAATCGAAAAGATGCTCATTACGTGGCTCGTGAGTTCCCAAGCCAGTTGTAAATGTATCTTTGTTAAAAGTGTTGTTATTTTTATTTATTTATTTATTTATTTTTTTTTCACGATTTAAAAAAATTTTCGTTCGTTCCTTTTTGACTTTAAAATCTGCGGGCACGTGATATTAATAAAATCGCGTACTTACAAGAATAGTTAAATTAAAATTATTTTTAAATTGATCTATATTACTGTGCATATATGTGAAATTTTGATACTTGATAAATTAAACCAGTTTTGGATAACTAAATAAAATTGTAATGGATTTCCTTTTATACCCAATTGACAAATTTTTTTTTAATTGTTTTATTAAGGTTACCTTAAAAGTATTAGTTATATTTAGAATCGATAAATTAAACTTAGAGAAATATATATAACTAGATCAATCATGATTACGTCAATATGTTGATCTAATAATCTCGAATTTAACTAAATTATTTTACTTGGATATATTAAAATTAGATAAATTAAAAACATAACTTACTAAAACTTAATAAATTTTTTTTTTTTCATTTTTTTAATCTAAATTATTAATACTATAATTTTTAACTATTTAAAAATTGTTACTAATATATTTTAATTAATTTTCAGATTTTTAAGTAATTAAATAATTTACTAATAGAAAAAAATAAAAATTTATATTTATTATCTATTTCTAATTTTTTTATATCTATTATTTTTTTATTATTACTTATTATTACTTATTATTTTTTATTTATTACTTATTATTTATTATTATAAAATAAATAAATTTTTTATTTATTTCTTAGTTAACTTACTATAAATAACTTTTTTTATTAATTATATTTTAATTAAATTATATATATATATATAAATTTAAAAAATTTAAGTTTTAATTTTACTCTTATAAAAATATTATATTATATCCTTTTAATCTTTTAATAATACAAGCTAATACAATCTATATTTATTATCATTACAATCCAAATTTACTATACATATTCTAAATAACTTAAACCTATAATAATAAATAAAAATAATTATAAATATAAAATAAAATTTATTAAAAATAATTTTTTTAAATTAAATAAATTATCTGATTTAGAAAATAAAGATTGCTTAAATTATTAAACATTAACAGATAATAAAATACAATTTTATCTAAAATATAATCTGTTAATTTATTATATTATATAAAATTTCATCAACATAACTATTAATTATTAAATAGTTTATGTATTAAAATTAATAATATTAAAATAATAACTAAAAAATAGAAATCATTTAAGTTTAGAACAAAATTTTTTATTTAGATCAATAAATATAATTTTTATTTTTATTATTTTATTTTTGTTTTATTTTATTTTTTTTATTTACTGATCTTATCGTACACACAGCATGACAAATAGAAATACTCACATGATTAAATTTTTTACATTTTCTAAAAGTATAATATCTTATACTTCACTCCAAATAATAAATAAATAATAAAAAATTAATTATATACATGAAAATTTAATAATCTTCTTCAAATTAGTAGGTTACAATATATATATTATAACCTATTTGTATTAAGTTGTTATCTAGATATAAGTATATTATTATTTACTTATGAGTAGATTATTATCTTTTTACTGTTTTTATTATTCTGTGATCTTTTTTATAATCAAGTTAATATTTGTTTATTTTTATTAATTTATACCCTTTTTATTGCTTTATAACTATCTAATTATTTTTATTACTCTGTGATCTTTTTATAGTTAAATTATTTAGCTAGCTTTAATTGCAAAAATTATGTTACTATTAGATAATGTAATTAAATTATATAACTCTATTTAGCCTAAAATTATTGAATATAATGCTTGTCAAATTATTGTAATTTATATGAAATATATTTTTAGAACTTTTCTACTACTTTTAAGCTTTATTTAAGATTCTGATTTTACTATCTTTTAATTGTTAAATAAAGCATAAAGTGCTAATATTATATTATTTTTACAATCTTACCTTTTATAATATATTTAATTGTTGAGAATGAGGTACAAAGTATTAAATTAGTTTAGGCTATATTACTTTTATACCCTTTTATCATGTATTTTTCTACTTTTTTAATCTTTTTTCTACCTATCAGTAATAGTATATAAAAGAATAATTTCTTATTTTTTTTTCTATATATAATTTATCTTTAGCTACTATTAAATATATATTTTATTTTACACTCTTACAGTAGCGGTTATAAGTATTCAACCACCTGAAATCATCCAAAATTATTATATAACTACTCCTTAAATTTTCCAGAAATATAATATAACACAATATATGATCACCTGTAAATTTATAAGTGTTAATGATACAAAAAAAAAATTTAGATGATCATCAAACTTTCGCTTG